GGCGCTCACCTGGAAATGGTGAGGGGCAGCCCCGGGCCACAGAGGTGGACACCGGCGGGTGCAGCTTTTCTTTGACGGCTTGTGCCGGTGAGGGGGCTTCCCATCCGACGGCTGCACGTGGGCTTGGGGAGATTCGATTCTGGCGCTGGCGTAGGAACCGAGTAGCCCGAGGGGGCTGGCCAGCGGCGTTCTCTGGCAGTTTCCTCTCGGCTTCCGAAAAGTCTTTTGCTTTTCTCGGTGACACAGCACTTATCCCCGCTGTTGTAGGTACGGGGACATTTGCAAATGGGATGCTTGTGTTTAATTCGCAAGTAAAGGGAGCCAAATTCCGTGAACGATCGGTGCGTTGTCATATGCATTGTTTTTGTGATATTTCCAAGGCTTACAACTTAATCGTCAAAAAGCCTTTTAATAGCGAGTCACTCCCCCTTTTTGGAGTGTGTTATGGGGGGAGGGCATGGGCAACTATCGTGACGGATGCAAAAGCATTTAAAAAAAGCTGATTTCGTGGCTGTCTATGTGCGAGAAACTAGAAAAGTTGTAAAGAGTAAAATGATGTTCAGCGCCCCTTTTTTCATCGACTGGATGAGTTCTTAAACTTTTTGGCTGGAAACATCTTACAGTTTCTCAGTTTACCTGGAAATGAACATGACCAAGCATAACATGCGTGCTACAGATTCTCTGATGCTGGGCCAAGCATTGGCGTATCTGGTGAACTGCTTTGTGTGGTTTTGTTGAACTGACTATTAAATCCTTTTGGTATCTGACAGCTGTGCGGAGAATTGGCCTATAACAATACCGGGATTGGGTGGGGTGGAGGATTTGAACTGGATTGTACAATGGTAGTACATCAGAGTTCAGAGAAACTTTTGGTGAAATAACTCCCAGTTGTATACAGATTTATATGTGTCATATATAAGCTTACATACTTTTTATACGGTTATGTACATTTCCACTTTATGCTCTTCAGGTTGAAGACATTTTTACTAGGTAGCCAGGTTAGCTTTAAAGGAAGTCTTGATGTAGGCATGAACTTCTGTGGTTTAGTACCTACAGTGTGTGACATTGTGCTTGGCCATGAACGAGCCAAATGATCTTTCTTAGAGGAGAGTGAAACATTGCCTATTTTCTTAATATGGGAAAGATGCATTACAGTATGGCGGAACAACCTATGAACTGTGAGGATTAGGGTATGTGCACTTTACATTGTGCTCTCCAGTGTTGTTACTTTGGGGAAGTCATTTTATCTCCTTGACCTTGGTGTCAACCCTGTAGAATAAGAGGATTAAAATATTAGATCTCTTCTGTTTCTTTCAGCACTGAAAATTGGTGATTCTGAATACTGCTGAGAGTGGTTATCAAAAGGATTTTTTGAATTAGTTACCACTTATGTCATTTTTGAATTAGTTATCACTTACGTCATTTTCATATGTCTGAAACTCATTTATTAGTTTAATTGTAATCATGGAAGAATAGTTGATGAATAAAAGATACATAGATGTTCTCAGTTCTATAATCATTTAAAAAATAAAAGTAAAGGTAGTTCTATACCTGAAACTAGAGTTTGACATTTCATTGTGGTTTCAACCACCCTGCCTCATCCCACGGGTTCTGTACCATTGGTATTTGATGGAATTCAGCAAACTCCCTTTCAGATTTTAGATTTCTTTAGTTCCTCTTTATATCCTTTCTACATTGTCTGAGTCAACACTCGTGATTTTTAAATTTCATGGTGTTTTGTAGTTTTCTTAGTTTTATAAAGAACAGTTTTTTATTCACCTCATAGCTATTAAAAATAAACTTTAGGATTGAATTAGTTGCGTAACTTAAACTGCTTTAAAATGATTTCTTATTTTTGGCTCAAAATAAAACTGGGCAACACACTTGCACATCCCATTCTTGACTGTGGAATTTGTGAGCTAAAACTTCTAATCTTTGAATTACTAAATGATTCTTTAGTAAAGTGATGCTAAGGTCTTTTCCATTTTTTAAATGGAAATGTATATCTTAATGTTGTGGCCAATGAATATTGAAATACTATTTTCATCTTTTTAAAATAGTCTGGTCCTTAGAGTTATTACAAGACTATCTAAATATAACTGATCACTAATGGTAATTTATTATCTGTGGTTGGAAAAATTGCTCTGTATTTGAATAGCACCTTAACAAATTGGCAGTCTCAGTGGGTTTTGTAAGCACGGAACCATTTGTTTCAAGTGATGGGAAAACTGGCAGAATCTTGATGCCCTAGCTGTTCTTTCTCCACCTGAGCAATAGCTATAATTTTTAAAGGAATGAAGAAATAGACAAATATTGTTTATTTAGGATTTGATATCAGCAAATAGAATGGACAGTCAATCCTTTTTATTTTGGCCTATCTTTTCCTTAATGTAAAATGAACTAATAGAATTACTGAGTTTCTGTCTGTTGGGCTTGAGGTTTTCATGTGCAATCCAGACTGTGTCCAGTTATCCTTTTTTCTGGGATAATAAAAACTTGTAAAGCAAAAACAAAGGATATTTATATTTGTTTGAATTAATATAAATTTTAGGGTATCGCAGAAAAGCATCTCACAGTTAATAGTATGTGAGATTGGGGTGCTTAGAAGATTAAATCATATTCTATTTTGAACCATTATAAAATCTACCTTGATGTGCCACTTTACTGCGGTAATTGTTTTTTTTAAAGTCAGGTTTCACTCTGTTGCCCAGACTGGAGTGGAGTGTCGTGGCATAACCATGCCTCACTGCAGCTTCAACCTAGGCTCAGATGAATCTTCTGCCTTAGCCTCCTCAATAGCTGGAACTACAGACAGGTGCCACCACATTCAGCTAATATTTTTATTCTTTTTTGTAGGGATGAGGTCTTGCTATCCTGGTCTGACTGGTCTCGGACTCCTGGGCTCAAGCAGTCCTCCCACCTTAGCCTCCCAAAGTGCTGGGATTATAGGCATGAGCCATTGTGCTTGGCTAAATTTTTTAAACTTGAGGAATTACAATTTTTTTTAATTGGCAAAGTTCTTTGAAGATTATCTTATTCATAGTGTTACTTAGCTCATGGGTTTGCATTATTCCTGGAGACCACTGCACATATATACCAAGCATGGTGTCCTGGCTGCCCAAATGCCCCTAGATAACTTTTTTCAAGCAACCTGTGATTTTTAAAACATATTCATTTATTTAAAAGCATTGTTGACTTTGTAGCAACTTTTTATCCAACTGTTTTTTAATCTGCCGATACAAAATACAGTCATTCTAGTGTCTAAGCTTTTTTTAACATTACACAGGGGTTATCTCACATGAAACCGTTGGGAACCACTAGTCGAAGCTAGCCCTCTTGAAAAGGAAGGGGAAGATATCCGTAAAGGGTCAAGGACTGAGTAACCTGTTGTTTTTGGTCATCCTGTTGGAAATGAAATTATTCTCCCCCAGATTATGGTTCTAGTTATTTTTCAAAAAATCATTCAGGGTCAACAGTGACGTTCCTATATAATTAAGTCCAGTGAGCACCTTTCAGTCTTACTTGATCTTGGCAATACTTTACATTGTGCTCTAAATATAACTTTTCCTGTTGCCTCTGAGATACATTTTCCTGATTTAAATTTAAAATACACACACACACACACACACACACACACACATTGATATACCTTCTTCACTGATTCTTAGTTTTCTTGTCACAACATAGAAGTCATTTCACCTTTTCTGAAAGCCCTCTTTACTTAAAACATACCACTCTATGATTCCATAACACCCTGCATTTTTCCCTTCCATAGCACTTACTGTAAGGTACTAGAATTGCTCATTCCTGTTTCCTCCTATACTTGTGAATCTATGAAGTCTCTGAAGGCTGTAGCGGCCTTATCTTGTTCACCATTGTAATCTCAGAAACCAATACAATACAACCATAATCCTGCAGAAGCAGTGTTCTTATAAGTAGGTTCTCTGATAAAGAGTGTGTGGTATTATGATTTTGTAGGTAGGGTTGATTGTAGGTTTTAAAATTTTAAGACATGAGGTAGAAAAGGACTTTTTTATATCATATGTTTGATTTCTTACTATCTTAGGTATTTTCTTATTATTCTAGGTTTGATTCGTATAAAAGTAACAATTGGTAAATATATATTGAAAGATTGTTTCTCATGCAGTGTGTACCAGAGTTGACTGCTATTTCTGTAATGCTAGTATTCAAATATAATAAATACGCTTTTTTGAATTTGAGAAATCATTTTGAGAAACATTATCAAACCACCTCATGTGTGTTTTAACCAAATATTAATGTGTCATTGTGGTGACAGGTTAATACCCATTATATTTTCTCACACGTGGATTAATGTACCCAATTCTAGCTCATTTTCTTTCACGGTGACTGTGTGTTGTCAGGATAATATTTTATAAACTCTTGCTAAGAATTTACATTGGTTTCTTGATGCCATATGTTTATCCTTGATAGATTTTTGTAATGTAGTCATGTAATCATGTTGCAGGACTTGCTTTTAAGAGGCTGGTCCGTTTCTGATTTCCTGAACTTCTGTGCCTGTGTTAATCCTTTTGGTGCTCCCTGCAGCACTTTCCTGACCTTTGTTAGTCATTTTCAATTCTTGTAAGTGACCTTCACTATAGTAAGCAAACCCTGTTTGTTTTCTTACTTGATATTCCACTAAATTTACCTAGATGTCACCTTAATATCTGTAGCTTTCATTTCAAAATGTAACTTGTTTTCTAGAGTAGATTTTGCCTTTTTAATAGCTTAGGGGCATGTTCCTAGGTTTTGCCTCTTATTTGACATGTTTCAGTACACATAAATGTTCGCTGAAGGGAGAAGAGATATATTTAATATTTCTCATTATTTTCTTAGCTGTATTTCCTGTGGTATTCGCTTTTGATCTTATGTCTTACCCAGATTGCTTTGGATTTATGTGTATGTGTATACGCAATTGCTACTCTTTGGACAAATGATTTTCTACTTTGTCAGCTGTAGAATTTACTGATCACCTAATGTACAGTCCTGTGATGCTT